GAGTTTTCCCTTTCCCACCTTGAACAGGAGACAGAAACTGTACCCATACAGCCCAGACACAACTGTATCTTCTGCAGCTCTATCCACTCGGCAAGATCCAATATCAGTTCTCATACCACTTAATCAACAAGAGACAGAAGCAATCATCTGCCAATTTGGGAAAAACAAAAAGTCAGCTACCTACAGACTAACCTGCAGCAAAACCCATGCAGGCAAGAAAGCAATGGGCTAACACATACAAAGCTGAAAGGAAAAAAATTGTCAACCAAGAATCAAATCCCCAGCAAAGTTGTTCCTTAAATACAACTTTGAAAATAGGTTAGCAAACAATAGCATCAGGTTTACATTCAACAAATTATACACTTGTTTCATCTCAATGATTACAATCCCCTCCCTACAACAACAGTTACCCTACTTCCTCCCTGTGGCTCCCCATTTACATCTTATATTTCACAAATAAAGCAAAAAAAATTTTAGGTACACGTACAAAACAAAAAATGTATTTTCATTTAAATGTCCAAAGGGCACATTCTGCAAGTCAGCCTCCTGCCCACATAGCCTTACTCAGTCTAGAACCCGCAGTCGCTCTGTCTCTCCATGCCTCTGCCACCATCTCTGCTGTTACTACTTTTCTAGGTAGAAATCCCATGCTCCCGTCATGCTCTTCCTTCTTGATGGTCCTGGGAGGACATTTCTTGATAAACAGAAATTAAGGAAATTTGTAATGACCAAATCACCTACAAAGAAGAACCAATAAAACTAAATTCTAATTTCTCTGCAGAAACCGTGCAGGCAAGAAGGCAAATGGGATGACATATACAAAACTCTGAAAAAAAAAGCCAACCAAGAATCATATACCCAGTAAAATTGTCACTCAAATACAACAACAAAATTAGGTAATTCCAGATAAACAGAAATTAAGGGAATTTGTAATAACAAAAACAACTTTACAAAAAATACTAAAAGGTGTTCTTTGAACTGAGAAGTAATAACAGTAGACAACAACCTGAGATTATCATGCATGCCAATACCACCCAGACCTCAATCCAGATATAGAAGTATTTAAAGTAAAACAAACCTTCAAGACTGAAAATAAGGAACCAAAGATATCAAGTTATAATGAAGCCAACTATAAAGCAAAATAGTGGAATAGTGTACACACAGAACTTCCAAATGGTTAGGAAGTCAAGTAGATTGCAAGATAAACAGACTTTAAAGTGGAGGGGGGGAGGAAATAATGAACTACAGGGTTACCTCAGAGAAAAATAATACACCTGCACATCAAATTTTTAAAAGAGAATATTTAGTAAATTTTAACACAATAGAAATGAAAGTGAAAAAACAAACACAAACAAACAAAACCCCAAAACCAAAATGAACTTGGCACCAAAACTTATATGGAACAAAGAAACCAGAGCATCACACAAAACATTATTCACAGGCAAGAGGGTAAACATATTAACATGGTGACAAGGCAGGCAATATACAACAAAAGGGAGGTTAGCAGAGGAAAGATGAAGACAGCAGGGAGCAATGCAGTAGTTAAAATGAATAGCAGTAAATACGTTGATGACACATGGAAGAGATTGCAATCATTGTAATGAAGTAAAGTACATGATTTGTGGATGTAAAACTGATGATCTGCTCTGTAAACCTCCACTCAAGTCATAATAAGAAGTTTTAAAAAGAAAGAAATCAAACGATGTATTGCATCAGGCAAGACTTCTGCACAAGACCTCTTTAAAGTGTCCAAGAGCAAAGATGTCAGTTTGAGAACTAAGGTACACCTGACCCTTAGTTCCAATAGTTCCAAATACCTGACCATGATATTTCCAACAGCCTCATATACACATGAAAGTTGGAAAATAAAGGAAGGCCATAGAAGAATTCATGCATTTGAGTTATGGTGTTGGAGAAGAATATTCAAAATACCATGAACTGCCAGAAGAATAGGCAAATCAGTTTTGGAAGAAGTACAACCAGAAAGCTCTTTCATCTCTCATATTTTGAACACGTTATTAAGAGAGACCAGTTCCTGGAGAAGGACATCATGCTTAGTAAAGTGGAGGGAGGGTCAGCAATAAAGAGGAAGACCCCCAACCAAATGGCTTGGCACAGATGCATCAGCAATGGGTTCAAACATGACAACGATTGTGAGCTTAGCGTAGAATCAGGCAGTGTTTTGTTCTGTTGTGCACAGTATCACTATGTTATTGTGTTCATATATTATGCACACCAGAAAACATACACAAAATATAGAAAAATTTAAAGGAGTAAAATAAAAATAGAAAGTCTTTTGGACAGATGCTCTATTTTACTTAAGTTCTGGAGTACATTCACCCCACTTAAGGGATCTCTGCTCCAACTGCTAAAAATAAGAATAGAGATTTCCTAATGGACATTGAGGGAGAGCCCAGTCATAAAAGAGAGTTGGGTTTTTTTGTTTTTTGTTTTGGCAAGTTGGACTCTATGGATCTTTTCTTTCATAGACTACAGGCCACTGACTATGCTTCTTGCCCACTATGTGGGGCAGCATCAAGATATGGGAAGTATTTATGCAATGTTCCATTCCCACAGAGCATTGAACTATATAAACTACACAATGTGAGAGTGTCCCAAAATAGAATCCCTTCCTGCAGGGGCCTACAATTCTCACTGGACAACTAGATTTAAATCCTAAAAAAAAAAATATTGCTGACTACAGTGAAGTCAGCTCAAATTCGTTTGAGTCCATGTAAACGTAGTCTTACGTAAGACTGAAGCACATGACTGGTTCACTTAGTCACATGAACAACACAGGCTCTAAAGGAGCTCATCTAGGAGTAGTGTAAGCAAATACTGCAAGAGTATAAAAAGAGTCTGCAGGATATCACCTCTGCTTGAGGGTGTTAAAGAAGCACTGCAAAAGAGGAGGTGCTTAAGCTGGGCCCTAAAATATGAATTAGAAGTTTTCCAGTTAAAAAAAAATAATGGAAAGTCATTTCCAGCAGAGACAGCAACATTTGTGAAGGCTTGAAAACTTGGTTTTAAGTGGAGCACGAGTGCATTCAAGGAGGAAAGCTGTGGGAGACACGAGTTTTCTTGGGTAGACAAGGACCAGATGAGAGCAAGGCTTACTAAAGAACTACCCTGTAATTAGGTAAGGAGGAATTATTGAAAGAGTTGAGTTAAACACAGTGGGATTAAATTGGGTTCAAAAAAACTCCTCTGGTGGTGTTGTGGGAGATGAACTGGAAAGCAACTAGATTAGAAACAAGGAGGCTATGGTAGATGTTGTAGTGTGTCATCCTGATGGCCCCTCAGCACTAAGGCACTCATTCCTCCTGTTGCTGGCCATTGATGACTGGTCGATTTCAGCTGAGACCTATTCTAGGAATTGCCCTTGATCAGAAGTTATGCCTCCTTTAGGTGGGCAGACTGCCCACATCCAATGCAGGTGAGGAGGGGCAGTAAGGGGGCTAAAGAATGGGAGGATGGAGGCAGGGGTTGAGGATAATGAGCATGTGTTGATTTCAGGCTTCTTCCACCTGGATCCCTTGCATTAAGTTGGGACAGCTATGAAAGGCCATGCAGTCTCAGAGCTGCTGTAGGCTAGGTTGAGACTGTTCTTGCAATTCCATTGCAGTTTAACTCCTCCTTCTGCTCAATCTTAATTTCCCCACCCCCCCCACCCCCCACAGGAGTTGTTGTCCAATAACCTTCGTTTATGTGTGTCTCAGAAACTTAGAGTCCATTTCCCAGGAAAGTTGACTAAAGATAGAATCCAATTAGATCACCACTGTAATAAGAACCCTAAATTACATAATGGAAGTTGAGGATGGAGAAGAGGGAACAGATTCAAGAAATATTTAGAAGATAGCATCAAGAGGACTTACTGACAACTTGCCTGGGTGGGTGAAGTCAGGATATCCCAGGTTTCTAGTTGGCTGGTAGTAATGGGCCATTAGGGAATATGGATGGAGAAGTAAGTTTTTTGAAAGCAGTAACTGTTCTATTGAGTTATGAGTTGGGCTGCTAACCACAAGGTCAAATGTTCGAATCTACCAGTCATTCCTTTGGAGAAGGATGAAGCTTTCTGCTACCATAAATATATTCAGAAACCCTATGTGGGTGCAAACTGACTCTATGACACATAACCACCACCAGCAGTAATCTCTTCTATACGGAACAAATAACATTTGAAGTGCTTGTTGGACATTCCTTTAAAGATCTCCAATAGGCAGCAATCCAGCAGATAACAGGATGCATGGGTTCTGGCGCTCAGGGAAGAGGTCTGGACTAGGAATAGAGATTTCGAAGTCATTAGGGTTCTAGATGTACTCCTGGTGTGGCGCTGTGTGTTAATGCGCTGGACTGTAAAACCAGTTTGAACCACAAGGTCGGTGATTCAAGCTCACCAGCAGCTCCTTGGAAACCCTATACAGGGTCGCTGTGCATTGTAACCGACTCGACAGCACTTCACAACAAACAATAACAAGGGCTTTATATGGTAAATGAGATAGAACATACACCTATAGAAAGGTAAATAACTGTGCATCAAGCAAAGACTCAACTTATTTATCCTTCAAGAGACAGAGCTAAGGGAAATCACAAAGAAATATCCATTTTCCAGCTAACTAGGATGTATGTTTGAATAACTTAAAAATGGTCCTAAACAGTTGGCAGGACTAAGTGAACTGAGACTATGCCTGAGACAGCCTTTCTCGAACAGTATCAGAGGAATGATATGTTTCAAACAGAAGTTCCTTGAAAAGAGGATTTGCTGACCAAGAACACTTAGAAAAACAAATTATATATACTCTCCTCCTAGATATTCGTAGTATACGTTAGCACAAGAAATTCTACTTTTCAAATGTATTTAACCACGAGCCTTTTCTAGGGGAGGCTATTAATTAATGTCTCACACTACACTAATGATGGGGAGGCACTGTTGGGAAGTCATTAAAAAGTCCTCAAGTACTGGCAAAGTCAGAACCTGGAAAGTAAGATTCTCTTGGAGCATGAACCTGGTTGGCTCTATTTCTCCAGGATCTCCTGGTATAGTTGGCTATAAAAAGGTATGTCTGCAGCCTTATGGTTACTGAGGGAGGTGGTCTGTGAACAGTGTGGTGCTATCTGAAACTCTGTGCAGAAGTTGAAACTGCTGAGTCAAAATGCAGCAATACCAATACAAAGCTTGTTGAGGATTACTGGGTGGCTGGTGAAGACTAGAGGAACGACCCACAAAAACAAAAAGCTAGGAACGACCCACAAAAACAAAGTCATACTTCTAGAAGCACTCACAGGACTGTTAGAATTGGAGTAATACTTTAGAATTTCCATAGAATTCATCTCATGGTAGAAATTACCCATCATGAGGTAGAAAACTGCCAACTAGAGGTCATGGGCATCTAGAGAAGTATGCAAAGCAAAGATGGAGAGTAGGGAAGCAGGGGTGGAGCATGCGAAGAGGTGTTGTTGCTCAGGGAACAACATAAACACACTATAGAAAAACTACTCATTTTGTGTGAGTGTACACTTTCAATTAATAGTAGGAAAATATTGATCATAGAGCTGGATGGAGAGACATGGGATTCCTATTGCTTGTGAAAGGTAGTACTGAAGAAAAATAAGGCCTGTGATGAGTCACCTCCATGAAGGTTGGCAAGCTGGTGTATCTTTAGGACACAGAAGCAAAGTGTAATGGGGCTGTCTCAGGTAACTTTGATCTTCTCTGAGATCACCCCTCAATGAGAAGATTACCCACAAAGAAGATCAAAAACATTGATCTGAGACACTCCCACTCTTTGGAGAAGGTGAACAAAGCCAAAATCCTCAACCAGATGAATTGGCACATTGATCATAACAATTAGCTCAAAAATAGAAATGATTGTGAGGACCAAACAGTCTTTTATTCTACTGTGCATAAATTTGCTTAGGTGCAATGGCACCTAAGAACAGCAACAACAACATGGCTGAGATCACCCATCATGAGCACAACACAGGAGGCAGAAGTAAACATGGAACACAGTAAAAGGTAGAACATAAGAATGGTATGGGCAAAGGATGGAGAGTTCCATCTCAGACATGTCTGGGGACTGCCTTTGCCTGCAGCAGGCAAGACAGGGCCAAGTGTTTCAAGAACTGTGAGTTATACTGGATGTAGAAAGGTAATTCATACATGGACAATGAGGGGGCTTTATATATGATTTCATTTATTTTGTAGACGTTGAGAGTATAGGTAGCAAAACATGCACCACTTGAACAGTTTCTACATATACCACTTAGTGACACTGATTACATTCTGGGAGTTGTGCTACTATTCACCCTTCATTTCTGACTTTTCCTCCACCATTAACATAAATTCATTGCCTCCAAATGATGCTGTCAATTGATATGATTTGCCTATAATACAGATGGATGCGTTAATGAGACCAAAATTCATTTCTGAATATATCATGAGCATGGGCATATGCCAGAACTGTTTTACTTAGTTCATTATTTCTGTATCCATGCATGTATGGGCATTTTATTTGGAAAAAAATACAATATTTAGTACAAATCATGCTTGCTACACATTTAAATTTTTTGTGGTTCAAGTATTTGCATTCATTTTCTCTTTTGAAAACATTCCTTGGCATTCTTGTTGATTTTTCTTCAAAAAATTATCTTATTAAGCATATCAAATTATGAAAATATTCCTGTGAAGACTGAAATTGTTGCTGCATTAAATTAGTTTTTGCAGGGTATTGTTATCTTTAATTTTTTTTGCCTTTCTGTTGGGGGAGAATACTTCAGACATACTATCAGGAGAGATAGTCCCTGGAGAAGGACAGAATACTTGGTAAAGTGGAGGGTCAATGAAAAAGAAGACGACCCCCAATGAGATGGACGGACACAGTGGCAACAGCAATGGGTTCAAGCATAGCACTAACTGCGAGGTTGTGCAGACCAGGCAGTGTTTCCTTCTGTTGTGCATCAGGTCACTATGAGTCAGTACCAACTCAATAGCACCTAACAACAACCATGAGGAGAACACTACAATTTCCAGTTTATTCATACTCTCTTATATCTGCAATTAGAACTATATGATTTTATAAAATATTGTCTTTGTCTTGACTTAACAAATCATATTTCATTGGTTCTAACTTGCAATGTTTTTCTCATGTTTATGTCTATGGAATCTGAATATCTACTATTAATTGACACCATCTTCCGCCTTATTAGTGTAGTTTTCAAATGAAGCATAGCAGTGGCGCTGTAGGATAATGCACTGAACCACGAGGTCAGTTTGAACTGTAAGGTCACTGAGTCAAACCACCAGTGGCTCCTTGGAAACCCTATACAAGGTTACTATGAGTCAGAACCGACTCGATAGCATTTAACAACAACAATGGCTAAAGCCACAGACCTTGTTTTGACTGATGACATGGAGTTTTTCCTCTTCATCTCTTTCCACAGATGTAGTCAATTTGATTTCTGTGTATTCCATTTGGTGAGGTCCAAGTGTAGAGTATTCTGGAACACTTAATTGTGCTCGTGAGGAATCTGTACCTGGACGAAGAAGAAGTTGTTTGAACAGAACATGGGAACACTGACTGGTTTAAAATTTTAAAAGGTGTGAGACGAAGTTGTAGTCTTTCACCATACTTATTCAATCTGTATGCTGAGCAAATAATCTGAGAAGCTGTGTTATATGAAGAAAATCATGGCATCAGGATTGGAGGAAGACTCATTAACAACCTGCCATATGCAGATGACACAACCTTGCTTGCTGAAAGTAAAGAGGACTTAAAACACTTACTGATGAAGATCAAAGAGCACAACCTTCAATATGGATTACATCTCAACATAAAGAAAACAAAAATCTTCACCACTGAACCAATAAACAACATTCTTATCAATGGAGAAAAGATTGAAGTTGTCAAGGACTTCATTCTTCTTGGATCAACTATCAACACTCATGGAAGCATCAGTCAAGAAATCAAATGATGTATTACATTAAGCAAATCTGCTGCACAAAACCTTTTTAAAGTGTTGAAGAACAAAGATGTCAGCTTGAGGACTAAAGTGCGCCTGACCCAAGACATGGTATTTTCAATAACCTCATATGCATGTGAAAGCTGGACAGTGAATAAGGAAGACCATAGAAGAATTGATGCTTTTGAGTTACGGTGTTGGAGGAGAATATTGAAAGTGTCATGGACTGCCAAAAGAACCAATAGATCTGTTTTGGAAGAAGTACAGCCAGAATGCTCCTTGGATGCCAGCATGGCCAAACTTCATCTCTCATACTTCGGACTTATTGTCAGAAGGGACCAGTCACTGGAGAAGGATATCATGTTTGGTAAGGTGGAGGGTTAGAGAAAAAGAGGAAGACCCCCAATGAGATGGATTGGCCAAGTGGCAGCATTGATGGATTCAAGCATGGCAGCAGTAGTGAGGTTGGCCCAGGATCAGGCAGTGTTTCGTTCTGCTGTGCATAAGGTTGCTATGGGTCGGTACCAACTCAGTGACCCCTAACAACAAGTGTAGAGTCATCTTTTATGTTGTTTAAAACAAGTATTTCAAAAGGGGCAAGTGGTTGAACTTACAATCCCCAAGCAGAGGACCCTAGGACCATGAAGGGAGAAGAGTGGAAGCGTAGTGTGGGACTCTACCCAGAGAAATGTCAGTGCCAGAGATGGAGACAGAAATGATGACAGGGAGAGATGGAGCAGCTAAGGACTCTAGACTCATGGAGGGAGAGGGACGACTGCGTGCTGGTGGCTGTTGGGGGGCAGGCTTGCAGGGTGTGCCCTTTCATTGTTGAATGATGAAACATGCATGGGATTGTAATCATTGCAATGAAATGAAATATGATAAGATGAGTGTAAAACTGATTTTACCCCATGTAAACCATCACTCAACTCACAATAAATCTTTGGGGGAACAAAAAAAAGGTATTTGTAGTGAATAAGTCATTGGTGTTACAGAATTCTATTATGAGATCTCCAGCTTAGTTTCTATTAGCAACGCCATATTTTCCAACTACTGATTCTTCTTCTTTGTTTCCAAACTTTGCATTCCAATCATCAGTGGTTATCAATACATCCTGATTGTATGTTAGATCAATTTCAGACTGAAGAAGTTGGCAGAATTCTTCAATTTCATCATCACTGTCTTAGTGGTTGGTCCATAAATTTAAATAATACTGGCATCAACTAATCTTCCTTAGATGTTATCCTATCACAGATAGCATTGTACTTCAAGATAGAGCTTGAAAGGTTCATTTTGATGAAGAATGTGACTCCATTCTTCTTGAATTTGTCATTCTCAACATAGTAAACCAGATAATTGTCTGATTCAAAATGGCCAATACCAGTCCATTTAAGTTCATTAATGCCTAGTATAAGGAGCTTTGGTAGCATTATGGTTACAAATTGGGCTGATAACCTGAAAGTCAGCAGTTCAAAACTATCAGGAGAAAGATGAGACTCTCTGCTCCCATAAAGATTTACAGTCTCAGAAACCCTATGAGTCAGAACCAACTACGGCACATAACTACCACCACCAGTTCCTAGTATATCAATCTTTATGCATTCCATTTTATTTTTTACAATTTTCAATTTTCCTAGATTCATACTTCATACATTCCATGATCCAATTATTAATGGATGTTTTCACAATTCAAAACCTGCATAAAGAGGTCCAGATGATTAATAATAAAATTTCAAAAATGGAAAATACACTGAAAGGGCAACAGAGCACAATTGAAGAGATGGAAGCCAGAACCAGCAAGCTGGAAGACAAATCTCTCAATACTGCTACAATGGAAAAGCAAGCAGAAAAAAAGTATTTTAAAAATCTGAACAGAGTCTAAGATTCATGCTGGAAAATATGAAGAGGAATAACTTAAGAATCACTGGCATTCCGGAACAAGAAGAATCACACAAGTCCACAGAGGAGATAGTTGAAGAGCCTCTGGAAGAAAATTTCCCTAACATCTTGAAGGATAAGAAGCTGAACATACCCCAGGAAAGATAGACCCCAAAAGAAAATCACCAAGACATATAATAATCAAGCTCTCCAAAATCAA